TTTAGTGATGTACCCCTACATCTAATGTATGGTTGGTATTAAATTTTGTTTGCTATCACTCCTGTGGGACATTTTACTACGCTAAAGGCACTAAATAATTAAGTTGTTTTTGTTGTAAAATAATTATGAACCATTTTACAACAGGGTGAAAGGATGCTGACTAAACATACCATCCAAACTCTTACCCACCTATTTCAGAGAATGTTCCATCAAAGATTTAACACTGTACCTTTTTTCAAAAATCTGGAATATGAATGACATAGTAATGCTGGGAGGGCATTCTTACCAATGATTTTTAAAATTACCAGGACTTACTGAAGTGCACAGATCTTTCCAGAACTAGCTGGAGTATTTCAGTGATTTTCTTCTAAGGAATTAATAGAGATACAGGCGCATTTCTATAGATATACACGATTCCCCACGATTATAAGACTGAAGTTCAAACAACCTTTAGATTAAATAAATAGAGCCCTCTATGCACTGGCTGTAAGGCCACACACACAATTAGCTTAGGCAGTCATAATACAGTGTTCAGTCAATTTAACAATACAAAATTGTCACTAATTCAAAAACTGTAATGCAAGAGATTTCTCACAAAGGCTAGAACTGGGAGTAGAAAAATAATACATTGGTATTACAAAATCACAGAACTGTTACAGTGCTAAAGGAGACCACGCAGCCTATTGTACCCGCACAGGGTCTGTTCCCTAACCCCATTCTTCCGCCTTTTTCCCCATATCCCTGCACACCATTTCCATCCAAATAATTATCTAATGCCCACTTGAATGCGTCAATTGAACTTGCCTCCACCACTTTTCCAGACAGTGCATTCCATACCCTATCTACTTGACATGTAAAAACTTTTCCTTATACCATCCTTGCTTCATTTGCACATCACTTTAAATCTATGCCCTTTATGCACAGCAAGTTATTTTAACTAAAAGCTGTGACCATTTGTGTGGCAATCATAACACAGTTAAAACTTAGAAGCATAATTTTAATTTCTCCCGTGTTTGGAAGTCTGTTAAAGATGCATATATTATAAACAAAGGTGCTTACAAAGATTATTGGAAGTCCATTCTCTTAATAAATTCACTGTTCATTTAAGAAAAAGGCTGTTAACATACATAAATGTATCAGCATATCTAACCTACTCTTTTTATAAACCGAGAATAGGTACACATTCTAGGATTTCAGACAATATTAAGCTTCTAAGACACAGGAAAAAGAATCTAAAAGACCTCCAGAACTCATTTTATTGACAGATGCAATGTTTAAATTTTAATTGACAAACATAGGTGGTATCTTAAAAAGTTTTCTGCTCAGTCTGGCAGAATATTTTGGGTCATCTTCATTTAATGCTCCACTGCATTGGAATGGCATTGATTTAATTCAGAAATCCGAAACACTTTTCATTTTTGAGGATAGGTTTCTACAATCATTCCATGACCCTGAGAAGAGAAAATGCAAGATATATCAACAGTTGACTGACTAATCCTTGAGAAGAATCAAGCATGTCAATGAAAAAATTATATGATTCAAACAAATTTCTTTCTGAACATAACTAAATGTGCTATGCATCTGGATGCCAGATTACTCAGCACAGAAAGGGAAACAAATTGGTCCCTATCTGAAGAATGAAGTAAAGTGTTGTGTACAGATATATCATTTTTCCATGGCAAAAAATCAATTTCAAATAATGAAATACCTTAAGTTGTGGGCTAAATTGAACATCTACCAAGAAAAATCAACCGTTGCAACTTAGGTCTAATACCTAATGCTGTACCCTGCAGAATGAAGCAACAGCTAATGGTTTAAACTCAAAAGTATGCACACATGATTAACAGGGCGCATGACAGAGATAATGAATAAAAAGGACTACATCTCCAAAGCACAAGCACTGCTCGCCGACGAGAACACATACCGGCCAGTACAAACTGACCCGACACCGCAACTAGGCAACAAAATCCTCTACACGCTACAAAGACTTAAACAAACAGGACAAATCAACAAAACAGACTTCTTCAGAATGAAACCCAAAGGAACCAACACACCCCGATTCTATGGCCTCCCGAAAGTGCACAAGCCAGAAGTCCCCCTCAGACCCATATAGTCTCCCTACCAGGCATTCCATCGCACAGATTAGCCAGAGAACTACAAAGACGACTCAGGCACCTAGTCAACAAGTCACCCCACTCTATCCACTTAGTCCAAGAATTCCTCAACTCCATCAGACATAAAGATAAATGACGAAGAGACCATGATATCGTTTGACGTCACTGCCCTATTCACATCAATAGACATACCATTAGCAAGGGAAACAATGACAACACCACTTGAACAAGAACATGATCCCAGTGAAACCATCTCCAAGGAAAACATGCTCCAACTATTGGACCTATACCTGACCAACCACTTCACCTTCAACGGCCAAACACACGAGCAAATCAACGGGACACCCATGGGATCACCTATCTCCGGACTCATAGCAGAAGCAGTGATGCAAAGACTGGAAAGGACTGCCCTTCCGCTAATCCAACCAAAACTATGGATACGCTACGTAGACGACACCTTTGTCATCATTAAACGGACCAAACGAGAGGAGACACACAAACTTACAAACAACACCCTCAGCGGAATAAAATTCACCAGAGAGGAGGAGAAAAACAAACAGCTCCCATTCCTGGACGTCATGGTAGAGCACAAGACAAATGGCGAACTGCAAATAGAAGTACACTGAAAAGCCAAACACACAGACCAGGTACTGAACTTCAACAGTAACCATCCCAGCACACACAAACAAAGCTGTGTGCAAACATTATTTAAAAGGGCAACAACACACTGCAGCAACACGGAACTATGCCAGGAGGAAGAAGAATACCTCTTCCAGGTTTTCAAGGATAATTGAAATCCAAAGAATTGGGTCAGAAGATGCCTACACGAACAGCATCAGAAACAGACTACATGCCCCGACACACATCACACTACCTTATATCAGAAACACGTCAGAACTCACCACAAGACTCCTACGACCGCTGGGCATCAGAGTGGCACACAAGCCCACGTCAACCCTACGACAACTGCTCACCCGAACTAAGGATCCACTCCCCGCCACGGATAGGGCCAATGTCATCTACAAGATTCCCTGCAGAGACTGTGAGAAACACTACATCGGACAAACAGGAAGGAAACTAACAACAAGAGTACATGAACACCAACTGGCTACAAAAAGACACGACCAATACTCTCTCATCTCAATCCACATGGACAAGGAGAACCACCACTTCAACTGGGACAACATCAAGATCCTGAGACAGGCTAGGCAGAAACAGGCACGAGAATTCCTAGAAGCATAGCACTCCACGAAGCATGCTATTAGTAAACACATTGAACTCGACCTCATTTACAGTCCACTACGAAGGAAAACCTGAAGTGAGGCACTCTATCTCAACGGACCCGAGTTTAAAAACCAGGCGGGAAAACACACCAATGCTTCATCGGAGGCTGCACTGACAATGTTATCAAGCATGGTAACAAAATGTCTGCAAAATAACAAACCAGCTTGGCGAGCCAACCAACCTCAACACCCACAACCTGAGCTACAAATCTACTCCAAAACCTAACAGTAATTGTTTGTAGGTGGAATCAAAATTTATTGGCCCATTGTTTGAAACAAGGGTGATGTAAACGCAAAACCATGAGACAAAAAAAGCCAAAATTTTTGATGGAGACAATGCTTAGGACTTTACCTGGCACTGTATGAACCAGCACACTCAATAAGGCGGCGAAAATTATATACCTGAAATACTGGAAGTCTACCGTATTGTCATGATCTCCCCAATGCCCAAGTAATCAGTTGAGAATGTGAGTAAGAAGGCTGTCTGCCAGTAAGTTTTAATTAAGGCAAAGTTGCATTATTATTTAAGTGACTAGTGCTGTAAATAAAATATACCAGTGGTGTATATACCCCCTGCATTATGCTTCTATTAGTCTGAATTTTTACATTGATTATATGGGCCGCTAGACCAACTGTTACACTCCTGGTCCCATAGGTACCAGTTAATAAAATATTTGCTGTATTAGTATTTCCTTGTTTCAATAAATTAATAACACCATAAATAGTAAATTTTGCAGGACAGCAAGTGTTTTAAGGTACCATTGTAAAAATAGCTTTTGCAGTCACCTTTTAGTGTTGTCATATGGACAACTCAAGCAACATCAACAAGTTACCTCAATGTGCAAAAGGTTTACTAACTACTGTAAAACTGAAACATACATAATAAAAATTAAAAGCCAAACCTGTCCTCCGGCAGCACAAGCTGCAACGAGTGCATACTGTCCACCTGCCTTGATCAGTCTGTGAGCAGCTGTTGTCACAAGGCGGCAACCAGTAGCACCAAAAGGATGTCCCAGAGATAACGAACCACCCCAGCAGTTAAACTTATCCATTTCAGGAACACCAACCTAGCAAAATTAAAGAAGTTCTTACAATGCATAATAAATTGGAAGCTATATACAAAACAAAACATTGGCTGCATCATTGTACTTTTCAGTATGCAAAAGACTTCAAGACATCTTAATGGATTAACACTACTGATTTCACTGCCTACAAGTCATCCACGCCCAGTTTGACAGAAAGAGAAGGTAGCCAGAACATCTCCTTCTTCAAAGAGGAAGGCATTGCTACCCCAACAGTGAACAATACAGTTTTCCTGATTTTGGTCCCGCACCCTTGTCTTTCCCATTCCTGGCACCTTACATGATAATAATGCCATACGTGGCCTTGTCTTCCGTGTCTGCAACATCAGAATGTCAGTTCAAAAATCTATAACGTATATAATTTCTTTAACTATTTTTCTCATTTTTATTTGACTTTTGACACTTTTATTTTGAGCTCGTTTTGTTAAAATGTTTGCAGCTTTCATTCTCTGCACTAAACTCCTCTGCCAGGTGCTAAACCATGCTCTTTAATCAAATTGAATTCCATACCAAAACCACTTCTCACTCGGCCAACTCTTCTATCAGAAAACAGAAATGAAAAGGGGTTCTCGGGTTGCCAACCAGGCTGGGACTACAACTGTTTACAATATATAACTAATGGCTTGGAGGAAGAAGGGGAATGCACTGTAGCCAGATTTGCAGAAGACACAAAAATAGATGGAAAGGTAGGTTGTGAGAGGTATACAACGGTATACCGAGATATTGACATGTTACCTAAGTGGGGAAAAGGTTGGCAAATGTGGGAAAATGTGAAGTTGTTCATTGTGGAAGGGAGAACAAAAGAACAGAATACTGATGGACAAAGATGAGAGTGGTCCTAAAGGAAGAGTGCTGAATTGGGGGAAGGCCAACTATAGCAAAATTCAGCAGGAGCTGGGGAATGTGGATTGGGAGTAGCTGTTTGAGGGTAAATGCACATTTGATATGTGGGAGGCTTTTAAAGAGACGTTGATTAGAGTGAAGGACAGACATGCCCCTGTGAAAATGAGGGATAGAAAGGGCAAGATTAGGGAACCATGGATGGCAGGTGAAATTGTGAGACTAGCAAAGAGGAAAAAGGAAGCATACATAAGGTCGAGCTGACTGAAAACAGACGAAACTTTGGAAGAATATTGGGAAAGTAGGTCCAATCTGAAACGAGGAATTAAGAGGGCTCAAAGGGGTCATGAAATATCTTTAGCAAACAGGGTTAAGGAAAATCCCAAAGTCTTTTATTCATACATAAGGAGCAAGAGGGTAACTAGAGAAAGGGTTGGCCCACTCAAGGATAAAGGAGGGAAGTTATGCGAGGAGTCAGAGAAAATGAGTGAGATTCTTAATGAGTACTTTGCGTCAGTATTCACTGAGGAGAGGGAATTGACAGATGTTGAGTTTAGGGACAGATGTTTGACTACTCTAGGTCAAGTCGGCATAAGGAGAGGGCGGGGGAAGTGTTGGGTATTCTAAAAGGCATTAGGGTGGACAAGTCCCCAGGTCCGGATAGGATCTATCCCAGGTTACTGAAGGAAGTGAGAGAGGAAATAGGTGGGGCCTTAACAGATATCTTTGCAGCATCCTTGAGCATGGGTGAGGTCCCGGAGGACTGGAGAATTGCTAATGTTATCCCCTTGTTTAAGGGCCGGGTAGCAAGGATAATCCAAGTAATTATAGACCAGTGAGCCTGACGTCAGTGGTGGGGAAGCTGCTGGAGAAGATACTGAGAGATAGGATCTATTTACATTTGGAAGAAAATGGGCTTATTAGGTGATAGGCAGCATGGTTTTGTGCAGGGAAGGTCATATCTTACCAACTTGATAGAATTCTTTGAGGAAGTGACAAAGTTGATAGATGAGGGAAGGGCTGTAGATGTCATATACATGGACTTCAGTAAGGCGTTTGATAAGGTTCCCCATGGTAGGCTGATGGAGAAAGTGAAGTTGCATGGGGTCCAGGGTGTACTAGCTAGATGGATAGAGAACTGGCTGGGCAACAGGAGACACAGAGTTGTAGTGGAAGGGAGTTTCTCAAAATGGAGAACTGTGACCAGTGGTGTTCCACAGGGATCCATGTTGGGACCACTGTTGTTTGTGATATACATAAATGATCTGGAGGAAGGTATAGACGGTCTGATTAGCAAGTTTGCAAATGACACGAAGATTGGTGGAGTAGCAGATAGTGAAGGGGACTGTCGGAGAATGCAGCAGAATATAGATAGATTGGAGAGTTGGGCGGAGAAATGGCAGATGGAGTTCAATCCAGGCAAATGCAAGGTGATGCATTTTGGAAGATCCAATTCAAGACCGAACTCTGCTGTAAATGGAAAAGCCCTGGGGAAAATTGATGCACAGAGAGATCTGGGTGTTCAGGTCCATTGTACCCTGAAGGTGGCAACACAGGTCGATAGGGTGGTCAAAAACGCATACGGCATGCTTTCATTCATCAGACGGGGTATTGAGTACAAGAGTTGGCAGGTCATGTTACAGTTGTATAGGACTTTGGTTCAACCACATTTGGAACACTGCGTACAGTTCTGGTCACCACATTACCAAAAGGATGTGGATGCCTTGGAGAGGGTGCAGAGGAGGTTCACCAGGATGTTGCCTGGTATGGAGGGTGCTAGCTATGAAGAGAGGTTGAGTAGATTAGGATTATTTACATTAGAAAGACGGAGGTTGAGGGGGGACCTGATTGAGGTCTACAAAATCATGAGATGTATAGACAGGGTGGATAGCAAGAAGCTTTTTCCCCAGAGTGGGGGACTCAGTTACGAGGGGGTCACGATTTCAAGGTGAGAGGGGAAAAGTTTAAGGGAGATATGCGTGGAAAGTTCTTTACGCAGAGGGTGGTGGGTGCCTGGAACACATTGCCAGCGGAGGTGGTAGAGGCAGGCACGATAGCGTCATTTAAGATGTATCTAGACAGATACATGAATGAGCAGGGAGCAGAGGAATACAGATCCTTGGAAAATAGGCAACAGGTTTAGATAGAGGATCTGGATCGGTGCAGACTTGGAGGGCCGAAGGGCCTGTTCCTGTGCTGTAATTTTCTTTGTTCTTTGTAACACGGTATTATTTAAATGGAGATAAACTGCAGAAAGACACAACATGAAGAATCATAGAATCCCTACAATGGGGAAAACAGGCCATTCAGCCCATCAAGTCCACACCAACCTTCCAAAATGCATCCCACCCAGAACCATCCCCCTACCCTATCCCTGCACTTCCTGCACATTTTTGCACTGTGGGACGAAACCCACGCAGAACACAGAGAATGTGCAAACTCCACACAGACAGTTGCCTGAGGCTGGAATCAAACCCGGGTCTCTGGTGCTGTGACGCAGCAGCGCTAAACACTCAGCCATCATGCCGCAAAGGGACATGTGCACGAAACACAAAGTTAGCACACAGGTGCAGTAGGTAACCAGGGAGGCAAATGGAATGGTGGTCCTTATTTCAAGGAAGTTGGAGTGTAAGAGCAGGGAAGACTTACTGCAACTGTACAAGATGGTGGCAGGACCACATCTGGAGTACTGTGAGCATTTTTGGTCCCTTATTTAATAAAAGACATTATCGCAGTGAAGGCAGTTCAGCAAAAGTTTCTAAGAAAATTTGGAGTCAGCCAGAAAAGAAAAAAAGGCAAAATAAAAATATTCAAAAATTTATTATCTGTATTTCTAGCAGCTACTTTCCAATTTGAACATCTGAATTTACATCCCAGGTTAGAATATGTCTAACTATAGAAGCTTCACATGATCGAGGAGAGATCACATCTGGGATGAGGCCCAGCCCAAGCAAGTATATAGTTTGGGATTTCCTAGGGCTTGGCTCCTTCCCAGCCTCTGAAACTTGGCAAGACTGGCAAAGGGATGTGGAGAGCAGGAAGATATGCTCTGTTCCTGCTTGGGGGTTTATTAAAACTTTTTGAAAATTGTTTTACTGGTGAAGAGTGTGTTTTGGCAATGATCCTGATTCACTGCCCTCAGTGGTAGCTGCAGGGTCTCACTGAAGGTCATCACAATGGTGTGCCTTGGCTAAAGGGGATACCAGGACCTGTGCTGCTGGGCTAGACATTGGTGAGTGTGAAAATGGAGATCAGGGGATGGGGCTGGAGCTGGGGGGCAGGATTGGAGATCAAGGAATAGAGTGGAGACAAAAATATGTGGGATTCATAGAATCATTGCACCTCTGATATGGAAGCAGACCATTTGGCCCATCGGGTCCACCTAGACCCAATTCTCCTACCCTATCCCTGTAACTCTGCATTTCACATGGCTAATCTACCTAGCCTGCACATCCCCGGACATTAGGGTCAATTTTGCATGGCCAATCCACCAAACCTGCATATCTTTTGACAGCAAGAGGAAACCAGAGCACCCGGTGGAAACCCACGCACATTGAGGAGAACGTGCAAACTCTACACAGATAATTACCCGAGGGTGGAACTGAACACGGGTCCCTGGCGCTGTGAGGCAACAGTGTTAACCATTGAACCATCGTGCCGATTCTTAAGGGGCTTGACAGGGTAAATGTTGAGTGGGAGAGTCTAAGATGACAAGGCATAGTCTCAGAATAAAGGGGTGCCAATTTAAGGCTGAGATGAGGAGGAATTTCTTCTTTTAGGGTATTGAGTGTCTTTGTCACTCCTTGCCACAGAGGGTGAGGGGGTGAAGTCCTTGTGTATATTTAAAGCTGAGATAGATAGATTCTTGATCAGTCGGGGAATCAAGGGTTACGGGGAAAACGGCAGGAAAGTGGGTGAGGGGAATGTTGGTTCAGCCATGATCCTATTGAATAGCCTTCTCCTGTTCCTTGTTTCCTCATGGTCCTATGGGACTGTGGATGGACTCACTGTGGAGCATCTGTGATGAGGAGGATGTTGTGGAAAGCACATTTAGTGAGCTGGTCACACCACAAGTAATGGCTACACAAGCAGAAAAGTGCTGAGTGACGACGACCAGGAAGACTAGGTGTGAGTATGTAGTGCAGAATGACAGGAAAATTCATGTTGATACTGAGGATGATCGTTTCATGCTAATGTCCGATATTGATTAGCTCATAAATTGGGCAGAGCAATGGCAGAGGGAATTTAATCCTGATAAATGAAAGGTGATGTATTTTGGGAGGTCTACTAAGTGAAGGATTTATCAAATGAATAGTAGATACCTAGGGAATACAGAGGAACAAAGGGACTTTGGTGTACAAGCCAATAGATTCCTTGACTATGTCAGCAGAGGTGGACATAGTAGTGAAGGCAGCATACAGATAGAATATAGAACAGTACAGCACAGTACAGGCCCTTCGGCCCACAATGTTGTGCTGAACTTTTACCCTAATCCTAAGGTCTGTCTAACCTCCACCCCTACCTTATACTATCATCCATATGCCTATCTAACAGCCGCTTAAATGCCCCTAATGAGGCCGACTCCACTACCCTCTCCGGCAATGCATTCCACGCCCCTACCACTCTCTGAGTAAAGAGCCTACCTCTGATGTCTCCCCTATATCTACCTCCACTCACTTTAAAACTATGCCGCTTCATAATAGCTATCTCCACCCTAGGAAAAAGTCTCTGGCTGTCCACTCTATCTATACCTCTGATCATTTTGTACACCTCTATCAGGTCACCTCTCATCCTTCGTCATTCTAAAGAGAAAAGCCCTAGCTCTCTTAACCATTCCTCGTAAGACCTTCCCTCCATTCCAGGCAACATCCTGGTAAATCTCCTCTGCACCTTTTCCAACACTTCCACATCTTTCCTGTAATGAGGCGACCAGAACTGGACGCAATACTCCAGATGTGGCCGACCCAGGCTGATGATTGCCTTCATTAGCCAGGGCACAGTATATATGAGCAAGGAAGTCTTTACAGCTTCATAAAACATTGATTAGGCCACAGATCGAACACCATGTGCAGTTCTGGTCACCACACCATCAGAAAAATGTGATTGCACTGGTGAGGGTACAGAGGAAATTCAATAGGATGTTGATTGGGATGGAAAGTCTCAGTTATAAGAAAAGGCTGGATAGGTTAGGTTTGTTTTCCTTGGAGTAGAGGAGGCTGATTGAGGGGATCTGATTGAGATATACAAAATAATGAGATGCATAGATAAAGTAAATTGAGATTCTTTTCCCCACAGCAGATATATGTAAGACCAGAGGGCATAAGTTTAAGATGACAGCTGAGTGGTTTAGAGGGCATCTGGGGACAATATTTTTCATTAGGAGGGTGGTAGAAACATGAAGTGTGCTGCCTGAGAGGATGGTGGAAGCAGGTACTCTCGCAACATTTAAGAGGCATCTGGACAAGCACTTAAAATGCCACGGCTGGCTATCGACCAAGCTCGGGTAAATGGGATTAGTATAGTTTGGTGTTTGGTGGTTGGCGGTTGGCATAGACATGGTGAGCCGAAGGGCCTGTTTCTAAGCTGTATGACTCTAAAAAAAGCAAGTTCAATTGAAACATACCCTTGATTTTCTACCCATATAGGTTTTTGCAAACCAGTCAGAATCCATAGCTTTCATATTCGAGAGGATCTGTGCCTGTTCAAAAAACAAATAAATTTAAGTTAAGTCTGTTCTAAGCAAAAGAATATAAATAATGATCAGTACGGATACCACTTCTGGTACAAAATTAAATACTTACTAATGTGATACGATAGCTTGACAGAGATTCTAAGGAATTTAGGAAAAAATGTAAGCTAATCTTGGTTTCTATTTTACAAAGTCTTCTCAAAGAGGTGTGGTTTTAGAAAAAATATAAATCCAAAATTAAAAGAAAACGATTTCATATAACAATTACGCAACCGCAAAACCAAACAAGATACGTCTTATTATTAATGGAGAATATTTCTATTTGTAAAGGCCTACTGACAATATTTATAACAGTGCTACAGAACTGACTATGTCCCTCATTAAGCTGTTCCAAAACAGCAATGACACAGGAATCCAACAATGTGAAAAGTGCCTAGGCATGTCCTGCCCATACAAAAAAAACAGGATAAATCCAGTTCACCATTTACTTGACTCCCAGTTGTAAAGCAAATAAAATGTATCATCACTGGTATTACCAATGAACCCCACGCACTAATCCTCCACATAACAATGTTCACTTCAGGTTCTACGAGGACAATGCGACTCCAAGCCATATTCAACCTTAGACCAAATACATTTTTGAAAAAAAAAGCTGAATTCAGAGGCAAGAGCGTGACTGCTCGTAATATCAAGGCAGCATTGAGTGAGTGTAGCATAAAGGAACCCCGAAAAAAATTTAAGTTAATAGGAATCAAAGGGAAAAGCTCTCCACCAGCTAGAGTCATACCTCACACAAAGGAAGTTGGTTGTGGCTGCTGGAAATCAATCATATCCACCCAGATGCAGGAATTCCACAGGGCAGTATTCGAACCCTAATCATCTACAGTTGTTTCATCAATGACTATCTCCATGACAAGATTAGAACTAGGTATATCTGCTGAAAATTTTACATTGTAAATGGAACTGATGCAGCAAGCCTGAAAAGTGTCTAAATTTAGACTGATAATGAGCAAGGAAAATTAGTGTCACACAAGTGCTACAGGACAACCATCTGCAAGAACAGAAAGCCTAATTACCTCTTTTTCATATTCCACAACATTACAGAATCCCCACCAACACCCTGGAAGCAACAGAAATACTGTGGCTATAAACATGATGTGGAGGTGCCGGTGTTGGACTGGAATGGACAAAGTCAGAAGTCACATCACAGCAGGTTATAGTCCAAATGGTTTGTTTGAAGTCAGTAGCTTTTGAAGACCTGTCACTTCACCTGACACAGGAATAGCGCTCTGAAAGCTTTCAATTTCGAATAAACCAGTTAGCCTACAACCTGGTGTTGTGTGACTTCTGATCTGCTCATATAGCCACAGTCAAAAGGTCAAGTCTCGAATCCACAAAGCCTGTCATCTACAAGGATCAAGTCAGGGATACATTCAAACACTCCCCATTTACTGGTGTCAGTACAGTGCCAACACCTCTTCCTAATCTTGACACTTTTCAGACAAAACTGACTAACACCCTTCCATCACTTCCGCACATCACAACAGCAGTACTATTTACAAAATGCATTGCAACAACTTGCCAAAGCCTCATTAACAGCATATCCCAAACTCAAGACCATAAATGCCAAGCAGAAGGGGGAAGTTACAGACACATGGAACCTCGCCATCTGCAAGCTTCTCTCCAAGTCACATTTCATTCCGATTTAGAAATAGATTGTTGTTCCTTCATCATTGCTTAATTGAAATTGTGGACCTTTCTGCCTAACAATACTGTGGGAGTGCCTACATCATAGATCACAATGGGGGTTCAGGAAGTGAGAACACCAACACCTTCTCCAGGGTAATTAGGATAGGTAACATATCTAGGCTTTGCAAGTGATACCACGTGAAATTCTACCACAGACCTAGACAGCTGCGAAACAAAATTCAGTTTCATTTATGGATAATCTATGCCTAAACAGTAACACTTTTAAAAACGTTACTCTGAACATACAAAGATCAGTGATGAAATCAACCTTTTTGAGTCAAAAAAAGGGAGCAGATATATTTATCAATTCATCACACCATATTCATACCAAGGTAATTCCTTTTCATTCTGTTTGTTTTTTGAAACATCCATGATGGATAATAAACATCTTGGCTCCACCAAAAATCAAAATAGATTTCATTAAAATCTTTTCAACATAGATAACTTTATCCAGAATGCACTTCTTCACACAGACTTCCCGTCTCTTTTAATCTTAACATATAAACTTACTGCGAAAGCTTCATGGAACTCAAAGACATCAATATCTTCAAGAGTTAATCCAGCTTTTTCCAACACTCTAGGAGTGGCATATGCTGGCCTAGGATTAAAATGATTGTTTATTTTGTAAAGAAAACACCCAGAAAGTAACATACAGGTTTAGTAGTTGGCAAGTATTGATTAAAAACTTACCCTAGAAGCAACTGGTCTTTAGGATCCTGAGAAACATATACAAAATTCCTGAAAATAACCAAATACTAATAAAAATATATACACAATGCTACAGCACATTTATACTTGCCCCTTTTATTTGTCCACTCTAGACGAAGGAGAAATAAACAGCTTCCTTACCTCAGATATGCAAGTGGTTTGTAGCCCATAGCTAGTGCCTTTTCTTCAGACATTATCAACACTGCTGATGCACCATCTGTCTGAAATTCAGACCATGGAAAGGTTATCCTCAAGGACATACCTGAACCTTGGGAATATATATATTTCCAAAAATAAACAAAACCTGTACTTTGTGAAGTGGGGATACGGCCACAATTATACTTTTTTCCATGCTTGGAATTGACCTGGGGTCCAATCTCAGCAGCCATATTTGTAATCTGTATCAGTAATTTGTATCTAAAATCCCTAACAACTCATCTGCATTTCCACCTTCCCAGTAATTTGGTAAATGCAACAAATTCCGGTTCAAACTGCAAATCTGAATTTCCTAGATGATGTAAATTGAGCATATTGCATTACAGGAAAGTTTGGAGTTAATGAGAAAATCAGAAATTACTGGAAAATCTCTGCAGGTCTGGCAGCATCTGTGCAGAGAAAGCGGAGTTAACGTTTTGGGTCCAGTGACCCTTCAGAACTGCCCAGTTATTCACAGGTTGCCAATATTTAGAATGTTTGCCCACAAAAGTATCATTTAGACTTGCCACCTCAACCCAAAGTGTCCATAACTTTCAGCTCAAGATTCAATAAAATCATATAATGAGAACTTTACAGGGCTTATCTAAAATAATGACGTACTTGTAGTGACAATTTTACACACCTATCACATTATAATGAATCCAACTAATAGTAAAACTGGACAACCTAGATTCCAGAATGAATACCAGCTTGATAGATGAAAACTTTTTTTTTGGCAGTTTGGCTACTATGGTGTTCAGCCACTGAACATATTCAAAACAGGCTAATATATTTTTAACAAAAGAGCATCAAAACTTATTATACACAAAAGGCAACAAACAGTTTTATACAATAAAATAAATATTTGAAGTAGTTTTACCTCATATCAATAAATAAAGATTCAACCCCTTTACACTCAACAGCCTTACAGGGACACGAGCCTCAATAGTGGGTCACATGGGCATGGATATACTTGTATCCCCGGCCCCCAGCAAACTTCTGCATTCACTCAATGCTATCTCCTTTAGTTAATTTCTCTTCATGAGATCCTTAAACAGTAGGCTAATACAGTTCACTTATTTCTTTACATGGATTTTGAAAACTCCTTTTTCATAGCCTTCTGTTTCTGGCATTCTCGCTCTTATAAACTCTAAAAGAACTTTTCTGTTGTCTCAGTCTTCCTGTGTTATAGGACACCTTTTGAGAGGCAACAGCATTTTCCCCCAACTCTCTTTCACTTTTTGTCTTCTGAACTATTTATCACAGTTTTTTTTTTATAAAAGCCAAATTTAAACAGATATAAATAAATTTCCAAAAAACCCTTCTAACCACTCAGAGGAATCAAAGTGAAACTAAAACTATATCCTTGTTGACATACACAATGTTTTGAAATACAAAACAACTTTAAAGCTGTATATGGCTCTATCCCTTTTTAGAATCCAAGATTCCAAATAACAATAATATCTTGAACTTCCATCACAAAATGGTTCTGGTAGTTCTCAGAATCAATCGTAATAACCAACACAACTGTGCGTTCATGATAAGGAGCAAGAAATATTCCAACAAACTGCTCCAAAATCAATTTATTCTCCTATAACATTGTCATAATATTCCTTTAATAATTCATAATTATTGTCTTGCTGTAAGTTATTACCAGAAATGAAGCATTGGCAGCAGTAATAGTTCCATGTGGTTTGATAAATGCTGGCTTCAATGTAGCCATCTGTTCAATTGATGATGGTCTAATTCCATTGTCTTTAGTGACCGTGTGACGACCTGATTTAAAACAACATGTATAATAAATCATCCAAATCCAGCCCAAGTTTCTCAGCCATATAAGTGAACTTTTTCCTCCAGAAAGCAAAAATTTCTTTGTTGGGAATTACAATTATTTTTATTTGCTCGGAGATAAAATCTTAACCCAAGGAGGCATTTGTAACAGGTGCCATTGTATGGTGCAACCAGCTGAGTCAGATCATTGGGTTTAGAAAGACCATCAGACCAACTAAAACTGCTAGAACAGGTTAAGCTTTCATCAAGTCTTCAATTGCCCAAATTACTGTGCTCTGAAATAAGTCAGATTTTATAGGCCCATCTCCAAAATGGACAGTGGGTGACAGAAAACAGATAAGGCTTACAGTAAGAATAAACTAAAAAAATAAGCAAACAAATAATGACTGCAGGAATCCTGCCTGAAATAGGTTTGATCACTTTCAAGTCAGTTCCTAAGCAGGGCTAACTCCAGAGCAGAATGATGCCCCAATTTACAATTAATTACAATTTAAATCAGAGAAGCTCCAAGACGGAAAATGTTACACAAGGTCAGTAAGGCTACACTGCCAAGGATATGTTAGAAAAGCACAGAGAAGTCTTTATTTTTACCCTCTATAGGTATGCACGAACAAACAAAGTTGGTGAAATATTTAACCAAAACTTCTAGGCCTAGTGTTCAAGGATTATCTGGATGTAGGCTATTGTTCAAAACATGACCAAGCAGAGAATACCTGTTCAGGAATCTTGTTTATCTTGGATCAACCAATAACAGATGTGGCCAGGTCAAGGCGCAACCTACCAGGGTAGCATTTTTTTTCAAGCCTTCAATGGTCTTGTTAAAAAAATCTGATGGGAAGGTATAAAACTGGAGATAAAAACTAACACTCTTGGTATTTCCAGACAACTTCCCATCTAAGGATTTAGCAGACTGCTGGTTGATCAGCATTCACAATCAACTATTATGTTGGATAACCGTGGAAAATGGGAACATGGATTTTGATATGTAATTAACCTGCACCTGTTCATTCCACTGCAGGCATTATGTTAACTCTGCCTTGTATGATTTTGTGATTGCTGTATGTAACAACAGCTGCACCATCAACATGGTGACCAATATTGTTAGTGCCTAGCATTAAAAGGTGCAAGCTAACATTTATTGAAGGGGAGGCGCATTGTAGCTGATACCATTGCTTACTTTATTCCAAACTGTGAGCAAGGGAAGGATGGACAATGATCAAGGACAGAACAGAGCTTGCACCGAGGTTTTCAGACACTGCAATGAAAGCTGGGGTACAAGATTTGGGAGAGATGTCCTGTATTCACATGGGGCCTTGAGGCTTTCCAGACACACATTTAGGAGATAGTGGAAAGGAATGTCTATAGAGATTTATGCCAAGGAGCAGGATGCACTGTAGGAGGTAATTGATGATCTCTCAAGTTAGGAGTGCACCTTCAACAATATGACATCATATCAACTTCACCACTATCCTCCAGCACTTCTCAATTCACCACACCCCCTCATTAAGTTACTAACAACCTCTATTAATCCAGATTCATACCCAACATTCATACATGTCACCACATTTTTTAACCTTTAAATGTTGTACTTGCATCTCATCGTTGGCACACACAGTCAACTATGTAACCAAGGCTGGCCACACAATCTCAATAAATTGCACAACCCTTATTCTTTCTTGTAGGACAGCTGGCAGGAATTTACTGCAGCGGGAGAAGCTAGTCTGCACATTTTAATCCCCAAAGGAGACCCTACTAGCCATTAGTGGAAGGACCACTGCTAAGGTCATGACCGTCAACAGAGTAATCAAAATTGCTGATGGCGGTATCCTCATACCAAATTCTCATCTCAGTTTTCCCTCTGTTTTTACTCACTCATGGGGCATGGGCATCGCTGGCTGGCTAGCATTTATTGCCAGTCCCTAGTTGCCCTCGAGACTGTGGTGAGCTGCCTTCTTGAACTGTTGCAGTCCACCTTCTGGAAGTTGACCTACAATGCTGTTGAGGGGAAATTCCAGGATTTTGACCTGGTGATAGTGAAGGAATGGTGATATATTTCCAACTCAGGATAGTGGTGGCTTGGAGGGGAACTTGCAGGTGGTGGTGTTCCCATGCATCCACTGACCTTGTCCTTCCAGATTTTGGTGGTTGTAGGTTTGGAAGGTGCTGTCTGAAGATCTATGGTGAATATAGCGAGTTTCTGGTCAATGGCAACACACAGGATGTGGATTGTGGGGGATTCAATGACGGTAACTTCTTTGAATATCAAGGGGCAGTGGTTAGATCGTCTCTTATTGTTGGAGATGGTCATTGACTGACATTTGTGTTAGGTGAATGTTATTTGCCACATGCCAGCCCGAACCTGAATATCATCTAGAACTTGTTGCATTTAAGCATAGACTGCGTGAATATCTGTGGAGTCACGAATAGTGCTAAACATTGTTTCCCTGATGATTGCACATCACCATTTCTGAACTCGTGATGGAAGGAATGTAATTGTGAAGCAGTTGAAGATGCTTGGGCCTAGGACATTACCCTGAGGAAGTCCTGCAAGGATATCCTGGAGTTGAGATGACTGACCTCCAAAAGCCACAACTATCTTCCTATGCTCCAGGTACAGCTTCAAACAGCAGAGAGTTTGCTCCCTGACACCCACTGATTCTAGTTTTGCTATGGTTCCTTGAAGCCACACTTGGTCAAACGTGGCCTTGATATCCAGGGTTGTCACACTCACCTCTGGAATTCAGCTCTTTTGACCGAAGGCTGTAATGAGGTCAGGAGCTGAGTGGCCCTGGCAGAACCCAAACTGGACATCACTGAGCAGGTTATTGCTAAGCAGGTGCTGCTTGAGCACTGTTGATAACACCTTCCATCACTTTACTGATGATCAACAGTAGACTGATGGGGCGGTAATTAGCTGGGTTGGATTTGTCCTGATTTTTGTGTACAGGACATACCTGGGCAATTTGCCACATTGTTGGGTAGATGCCAGTGTCATAACACTTCCAATTTCATCAGACGTACAAACTGCAGACTGTACAGGCATAGACAACACCTATTCTCCTCTCACACTCCCATCACCACCCCCCTTCCCCAAACTATAATGCACCCTTGTCTGTTTTCATTTTATGTTACCAGGAAATGGAAACTATCAACCCAATGAAGCAGGAACAAGAAAAGTTATTTCAATACATAGTTATAGCCACTAGCTCAGATAACGAGACAGCACGAAATTTAGAAAACAGCACAGAGATGGGCTATGCATGTGGCGAGACACCAGTCATCAGGAGATCGAGTGACTTGAGAAAAGAAAAGAAATGCACAAGTGCCATTATGCTAAAATTGAGGGACCAGACTTGTTTCACTTCAGGGAAGGCAGATGAACACTTAAATGGACCAGGATGTAGAAGGTGGCTGATTATATACTCAAATGCTTTATAGAACATAGAACAGTACAGGCCCTTTGGCTCACGATGTTGTGCCAAACTTTTACCCTAATCCTAAGGTCTAACTAACCTCCACCCCTACTTTCCATATCATCCATATGCCTATCTAATAGCCACTTAAATGCCCCTAATGAGACCGACTCCACTACACTCTCCAGCAATGCATTCCACGCCCCGACCACTCTGAGTAAAGAACCTACATCTGACGTCTCCCCTATATCCACTACCTTAATATGCAGGTGCAGGTGCTGGTGTTGGACTGGGGTGGACAGCATCAGAAATCACACAACACCAGTTTATAGTCCAACAGGTTTGTTTGAAAACACAAGCTTTCGGAGCATAGCCCCTTCATCAGGTGAAGTGAGAAAGGAGCACACAGACACAGAATTTATTACTAAAAGATTAGAGGGTCACACAACTGATGAGAATGTATTAAACAAACCTAAGATGCTGTTAAATCTTTAAACAGTTAGAAGGTTTTAATTGATTAATATCATCAGTTGTGTGACTCTTTGATCTTTCACTTGTAAATTCTGTGTGCTTCTTTTTCACTTCACCTAACAAAGGGGCTACGCTCTGAAAGTTGGGTTTTCAAGTAAACCTGTTGGACTATAACCTGGTGTTGTGTGATTTCTGATCAAATGCTTGATGCTCTGGAAATCTACAAAAAAGCCTGCATTTAATATCAAGGAGCTTCTTGCATCAATTTGGTACAGGGCTTTTCCAATAATGAAACACATGGCTATCTCCATTAACATGCCCCTGGTGCCAACAACAATGCAGAATCTGGTAGCAGATGTCCTAGCTTCGGAGGGAGCAAACAACATTGACCCAAAGTCTGAATGTTACATTTAAACCTCAAGACTACCGCTGCTCTGAAAAACCAACATGCAAACGGACTTAGCACTGGCCTCACCATTCCCTACTAACTACTGAAACTTTTACTAAATACGAAACAGCATCCAAGATGAACAGAATCCAGAAACTAGCCTGGAAGTAGTTTACAATCACATTAAGTAGCACAATGCTATTTAACATGGGGATCGGTTTGCAAGGTTTAAAAAATGAGAAGACCTGATAAGTAGGAAAGTGAACTGATTTAACCCATTGAGACACAAGCAATTCACTCCCTCTAAATAAATATTCAAATTTCAGGAGGATGGGCATGGATTTACCTACTCAAAATTATTTTTAAACAGAAAAATAATAAAGCCAAAAGATCAAAACAGATTTTTTTTTTTTTATTTTCAGTAGGCTGGTGAACTTGTGTGGAACACACAAAGCTAAATACCTTCTTTAAAAGGGGCATCAAAGATCAAGGGTTGTTATTCTGAAGCTCAATCTGAAAAAGCTGAAATGGTGTAAAAATCTGGGATATTTATTTATTTACTATTTACTTTTTGATTAAACTGAAACTCTTACCCACAGAATGGATTAAGTATGAGGATGACAGAGTTTTGAATAAACTGTTTCAACCTGTTATAGATCACGCAAGAACAAATTTGTTATACAATCCGAAAAATGTAATAATTTATTAAACAGGTCTTCATTCCGCTGCTCTGTGTGAATTAATTTCATAGTGGGGAAAAATAATGATAGATGGTGTGTGAAATAGATGTCATAGGTCGAATTTTTTTTTTTAAAAAGAAAGTGTATTGCTGTATCTAAAACAGAAGCAGCAAGTGCTAGAGAAACTGAACAGATCTGTGGAGCATAACAAGGTGTAGAGCTGGATGAACACAGCAGGCCAAGCAGCATCAGAGGAGCAGGAAAGCGGACATTTCGGGTCTGGACTTTTCTTCAGAAATGGGGGAGGGGAAGGGGATTCTGAAATAAATAGACAGAGAGGGGGAGGCGGATGGAAGATGGATAAAGGAGCAGATAGGTGGAGACAGATCAAAGAGGTGGGGATGGAGCCAGTAAAGGTGAGTGTAGGTGGGGAGTTAAGGTAGGGATAGGTCAGTTCAGGGAGGACGGACAGGTCAAGGAGGCGGGATGAAGCTGGTAGATAGGAGGTGAAGGTGGGGCTTGAGGTGGGAGGAGGGGATAGGTGGGAGGAAGGATGGACAGGTTAGGGAGGCGGGGACGAGCTGGGCTGGTTTTGGGATGCGGTGGGGGGAGGGGAGATTTTGAAGCTTGTGAAGTCCACATTGATACCATTGGGCTGCAGGGTTCCCAAGCGAAATATGAGATGCTGTACCCGAAGGTTGCAGGAACTCTCAGATCTATGGAGCATGTGTTTTGGTCCAAATATTTCCTGTGGCTCACTGGACGAGTATTCAAGAATAAGAGTAATGTTCAGAGGACAAAAGTTCAAATCCCATCTATACAGAGGATGAAATTTCAATTCAATAATAACGCGTTATTAAACTCTAGTTTAATAGTGATCATGTAACCTTTATCAATTGTTAAAGTTGATTTATCAAGGTGCTTTAGTGAAGAAAATCTGCCATCCTTACCTGGACTGGCTTACATGTGACTCCAGACATATGGAAATATGGTTTACTCTTACTTGTCATCTGGACAATCTACAGCAAAAAATGCTGTCTTAGCCAGCGTCACCCACATCCCATGAATGAATAATAAAAAAAAGTCAACATTAATCCCACAATGTAACACCAGAAGTGTACACTACCTGCTCATTGTTGCGTTGTTTGTAGCTGATGTCTACGATTTTTAAACAGTACAACGACTTCACTTGAAAACTGCTGCACTGGTTTTAAAGCTCTTTGGGACTTCTGGAAGTCGTGTTTGACATCAATTAATTCTCGTCTTTCCTTCTGTGTGATGCCCTACTTGCATTTTCATCTAAATATTTACATTCTCATGAAACTGATTTTATTATTTGAGTTATTTCAAGATTCTTCCTTGATTCTAATATATACATGAGACAAGGTCATGCCAAAAATGAGATTTTTAAAAATGCATGGCAGTATATTGACCTGTCCTAGATATCCCAAGCATCAGTGATGCTTCTTGCAACTCTTGTCATGAAGTTGTCCCCAAAATAAACAATATTCTTTAAAATCACAGACACAGGAGACAACAAAAGGCATGTACTTACAACTAGTAGTATTTAACTAGAGTATAATTTCCATTTAAATGGTTTACTACAGACATATGCAAAGATAATTACCTGGCACTTTGAATGGGATAACATCCTTAAGTAGCTTCTCATTTTCTGCTTTCTTGGCCAAAGTATGGGAACGTAAAGCAAACTCATCCTGTTCTGCACGTGATATACCAAATGCTGCCGCAAGTCTGTCTGCAGAGTGACCCATAGATTCGCTCGTGGAGAACTCAGCTACAGCTGGAAGCTGCAGAAATGATTAAATGACTAACTTTCAAGTTATATTTTAGACTGAATGCAGTATTTATTTGTGCCAGTTTGTCAATGCCTGTATCAATCCTGATTTGAACTTTAATGAAAAAGTCATTTTCCACCACAGGTGATTCTTAACATTTACAACAGCACTAAAAAAAAAACACCATCTTTACCCTAAATTCAAGAGATTTCTATAGCTCTTTCAGAATTCTCACAAATTTAAACTGAGCTACCTTAGAAATCATAAGCCACTATGATAAACATTCCACTTTTAAAAGCCAGGTTTAAAAACACTCTGGTTAGCAATGCATATTTCTGCAGTCAAGTAATAAGAATCATATTCATCTCTTGTATCCATTACACATGAAAAAAGAGTTGCTTGCTTTATTTTAGATGTAAGACCTCTATGCAGGTCTGATAAGCATCAGAAATGAAAGATCACAATAACTGTGTTTGTCTAAAAAGATATGCAGATCTTGCTGCAATCAAACCTACTTTATCTGCATTATGGAATAAATTCGACACTCACAGCAATTAAATAATAGCCGTACATGCACAGTGAAGCAAGCAACAGGTCTCTTCTCTATAGCAGAGAGTCTCTTCTGTCCAACATCAATTCCATGGTTGAATTTTTAAACAAGCTTCAATTTCCTGTTATAACCTCTTATTTCTGGATTGCCGAAGAGCACAATCATCTATTGATTTCAGTCTTGAATATATTCAGCGCCTATGCACATACAATTCTCTGGGTAGAGAAACAATTCTCTGGGTAGAGAATTGTTGTAGCAAACACCCAAAATCCTCCAAATGAGAAACATTTCACTTCATTCAAGTTCTATCTTGAGACTATGCTCCTGGTTTCCTGACTTTGAAAACATGAGAGAAATAGCACCTCAGCATTTCATCTGCCAAATCTTCTCAGGATTTCATGTTTCAAGGAGATCACCTCACATTCAAAATATTGGCCACATTTTATTATTTTGTACAACAGCCTCTAATCCTAGAAAGCAATCCAGTGACTTTATTGTAACTTCTTCTTATGACTAGTATGTCCTTTCTTAGGTAAGGAGAGCAAATTTGTACAAAGTTCTCCAAACGTGGTTTCACCAAAACCCAACATGACTGCAGAAATACTTACTTACTCTTCTAATGCAACTTAAGTACAATAAAGGCTAAATTGTCATGTGTTATCCTGATTGCTTGCTGTACCTGTATGCTGACACTGCTTCATGTACAAGGATTCCCAAATCCCTGTGAACTTTTACATTTTGTAATAGCAGCACATAAGGAGTTTTAGTAAACTACTACCTGAAACTTGACCTAGCAGCAGCTACACTTTGATAAATGCCACATAAAAACAATCTTGGCTGCTAATACTTGCGAAAAACTGGTTTCAGTCATTTCTGCATGAGATAAATATAATTTTTAAGATTAGGTTATCAAATTCAATTAAACATATGGCTTGATATAAACAGAAACAAGCTTGGTAGCTCATTTATTTCAACATTGTCTCATTTTGAAACCAGAAACTGTTCCCTTGCCCACTTTCTTCTAAGAATGGATTATATAAATACCTCTGGTGCAAAGAAGTCTGGGCGGATTTTTCCAAGGAGAGACAATCTTTGTCCTATTGTCTTAGCTCTATTAAGTGAAAGCAAAGTCTTTCTCATTTTCCTGCTGTGACGAATGGGAACGTCTGACATGAACTCCACCCCACCGGCTATCACCGTTTCACACTGACCAGAAGCAATTAAGCCAATAGCTGCAAAACAAATACAATAACATCAACATTAATGGAGAAAGTAAAACAAAAGGTTTTATTCTAGAAATAAAATCTCAAAGCTGGATCTGATTTAATTCATAATTGCTTAAAATGCTCTATTCAAGCGTGTGGAGAAAACCAAAAGACCTACAAAAATGAAGTTCCTGCTAAAGGGACATGCTAATTACTTCCAAATTTGTGTTGTTGTAAAAGGACAAAGACGGGCACTTCTCATACACTACAAATGTTAGTTTTCCACTAATTGGTATTCTTGCAAATTGTCCTGATGAGTCCAAGATGAAAAGCTTCAAGAAAATGTGGACTGTTTTCAGTAACACTCAAGTTTCATGATACCAATTGACTAGCTTTCAAATTTTGACTGCCAGTTAATAAGGTCACCCTTCTAATATTGCACTTGGTATGTCAAACTTGTTGCACTTGCCTGTAGTCATTGCTTGATTGGAGGAAATGCAAGCCATGGTAACTGTGTGGGATGGAGTTTTGTCAGAAAACCCCGCTCCAAGTGAGGCCTATTACAATAATAGTAGCAGTGAGCAAATAAGAAAACCAAAATAAAGCAGCATTTACATCATGTTTATAAAATATATCAATTTTAGGATGTTACAATGAAGGATCAGAACCTTGAAGATTATACAGACATTTTTACTTTTATTTCCAATTTTTTTTTAGAAAAAGGCCTACTACTTAAAATAATACTATGGTTGTAAATTCACTGACTGGGAAAGATGTGTGAAGCTCATGGAAATGTTGTACCTCTGTCAAGGAAACTCTCCAACAGGACAGACTTAACGAGAGATAACAAGGAGACTGAATATATATCCGAATCCCTCCCTCCAGCAGAAGCCACCTCTTGCAGACATGTCCGTTTCATCCTCTAAGAACATCGTTATTATGCGGAAAGAGACAGGCAAACCAAATCAGCCTTTCTACCTTTGTATTCACACAGTAAAATTAATATCTTCAAAAGATCCTCAAAATGGACCTTAATGGTTGCTAAC